ATGAGGACATGCATATCTATATATGTCAGTATTTGATTGAAGTGTGTTTCATTCATTTCTTAATAAGATGACAAATGTACTGCTCATAGTATGTGACACAATCAAGGTGGTGAAAATGGTGGAAAATACGAATTTAAATAGCACACTTTATCAGTTAACAACTGTCTTCGGTTGTTTTTAAATATGGATTATTTTTCTAAAGATTCTTTTTACACTCCACAGGTTTCAGATGCCATCATTTTTATGGAAGATAAATACTTGTTTTACTTCAGTTCTCTGCTGCAATGGGCATTGAGACAGTGTCTGTTCATACTTTGGAGAAGTTATACCAGTATTCTAGGAAGAATGGGTTAAGCTGCTTCCATTTCTAAGTATCTGAAAATTGTGACACCTAACTATGAAGTGCCACACATTGTCAAATATAATTGCTCTTAAGAATTCAAAGGTACAAAGAAATCTCATGTGTGTGTGTGAAGGAATTCGACTTCTCCATCTCTGACCAGAGGGACACCATACAAGGTTCTGGGATATTGTCCTGGCAGGTGCCATTGTTTGTGTCTGCTTTAGTTAACATCCAGCCCAAAACAGTAACTCAATGTATGAATTCTTGCTTAGATATTTATTTTTCATATCTGAAAGTAAGGTGCTTTTTTGTTTTTTTAAATGATTATTAAAAACTAAGGTCAGCTGCAGCTGTCACTTGCTGCTATAACCATTCAACATATAAATCCCCTGGCTGATGTTTAGCTGTGACAATACCTCATTTTGAAAAATAAGGACACTGAGCTCTAACTTTTAACTAGGCTTCAGTGTCACAGGCACTAATAACACTTGTGATAAGAAAACCTCTTTTATCGTGTTAAGGCTCCCTAACCTCAATCAGTAGGTGAGAGAAAACCAAAATCCAGTGTTTATGTCAATCTATCTCTTTGTTCATGTGGCATCTAGACAGTGTGAGGAATGGAAATATTAGCCAATCCAAACTAAAATGTTAAAATTATGTCTGAGTTATTTTCTCCCAATCTAATAGTTCAAATGTTTAGTTTGAAATTAAGATAATAAAAACCTTCAACAAACCAGTAAGACATAAAAAGGGAGCATCCAACAAGTATTGCCGAAGATGTGGAGAAAAGTGAACCCTCGTGTACTGTTGGTGGGAGTGCAGATTGGTACAGCCACTACAGAAAACAGTATGGAGGTTCCTCAAAAAATTAAAAATGAAACTGCCTTATGACCAGTGATTTCACTTCTGGGTATATATCCAAAGAAACCCAAAACACTAATTTAAAAGACTATATGCACCCTTATATGCACTGTCCCATTATTTACCAATAGCCAAGTTATGGAAGCAACCCAAGTACCCATCAACAGACAAGTAGATAAAAAAGCTGTGGTACATATACACAACAGAATATTACTCAGCCATAAAAAAGAACAGAATCTGCCCAGCCACGCGTGGCTCAGCAGTTGAGCGTCGACCTAGGATCCAGGCGATCAGGGTTTGATTCCCAGTCAGGGCACATGCCCGGGTTGCGGGCTGCGGCCGATCAATGACTCTCTCATCATTGATGTTTCTATCTCTCTCTCCCTCTCCTTTCCTCTCTCTGAAATCAAAGATATATTAAAAAAAAAAAAAAAAAAGAACAGAATCTTACCATTTGTGACAGCATGGGTGGATCTAGAGGTATTATGGTAAGTGAAATATGTCAGTCTGAGAAAGACAAATACCATATGATTTCACTTACATGTGGAACCTGAAGAGCAATATAAACAAACAAATAAAACAGACTCACAGTTACAGAGAACAAACTGATCGCTTCCAGAGGGGAGGGGTTTGGGGTACTGGGTGGAAAAGGTGAAGGGTTTGAGAAGTAGATAATGGTAGTTACAAAATAGCCATGAGGATGTAAAGTACAGTATAGGAAATATAGTCAATAATATAGTAATAACTATGTATGGTGCCAGTTGGACACCGGAACTATCAGGGGAAACAATGTAAAGTATATGACTTGTCTAACCACTATGCTGTACACCAGAAACTAATACAAAATAATATTAGATGTAAACTATAACTTTTAAAAATTAAATGTATAATTAATTAATTAATTTTGTAAAAAATAAAAAGGGAGCGTCCACTTGAAAGGCAAACTTTCTCCACTGAGTGAACATAAAATTATGTTATTGAAACCCCAAAGAAGGAAATGTAATTTGAGCAAACGACAGGACTCTAGAGCAAATGTTACTTACATACTCGAATTCATACAAATAATATTCATTGGTTGTCTAATATTTTTTAAATTTTCTGACCTAATTTTTTTGGCCTTTGCTCCTGCTTACCACTCTTCGCTGCATACGAGGCAATTCGAAAGTATCTGTCCTTGGGATTCTCTGCCCAAAGACACTTCCCCAGATAACCACTGTAGCCTACTTATCACCTTCCAAAAGCATTTAACTCCTTCTACAGCAGCTCCCATTCACCACCAGTTATTCTCTTTCTAGTGCTCTGTTTTATTTACGTAAAAGCACTGATAATTTTCACATATGATTTTTGCCTATTACCTATATACTTTATGTCTATCAGCACAAAATGTGCAATTCAGGACAGCAAGGGCCCAGTCAATTTGGTGCACCTCTCCTAAATCAGACCCCTTCCCTCTGAAAGGCAAATAATAAATGCCAGGTAAATATTTGTTAAATAAAATAACTTATAAACATAGTGCAGGAGACTTAATGAAGGTCACATAACAGAATGTAAGATTTTTAACTTTGCCAAAGAAAAATTAAAGTTACAGCTGACGGCTCTTGGAAAATAGGGATGAGGGAGGAGATTGAGGGAATTACAGGGCCAACAACAAAGTCTCTTTAAAGAGGGCACCGAGGAGGCAGGGCTTCTGAATGGTGGGATGAAGAGCCCAGCAAAATCTCTCTCCAAAAAAGCAGTGCTACAATTGGACAAAACTGACCAAAACAACCATTTCAGTACTCTGGAGATTAACAAGAGGCATATAAAAAAAAAAAAAAATGGAGATGAGTGGATTCCAGAAAAACTACCAAACCTGAGGCAAGAACAGCAGGAGTTTATTGAGCTTTAGCTTGGGGGCTGCTTTCACTGGCCCCATTCCTTACCCCAGCAGCTTGCTAAGTGGGAACCAGCTGTTTCCCTGCTAGAGGGCATTGACTTCATTTAGATCAGAATGTAGAAAAATCCCAAACTCCTGGACACTGTCCAAAACAGTAGCAGTCCTGGTGGCAAGCAAATGGGGAGACTAAAATCACAGCCAGCATGAGGTAATTCTGGTTGAGAGGCAGTAGACTGCCAGATTAGCCAAAAATTTAACAAGGATTTTGGAATGAGACAATATTACTTGTTCCCGATAAGCTCCCACACATCTCTAGCCACCTGGGCCCGATATGCAAAATTGTACAGACTCTCGGGACAGACTAGAGAAGGGCCTGCCTATCCAAATATCACTATTTGGATCATGAGGGTTTATGTAATCCTGGAGAAAATACAAGGGGACCAGCAGGAAGTAAAAAGCCAGGGTCGATTTATGAAGTGCCAAAACTCTGGCTGTGTTCACACAGCCAACCCACACAGTATGTAAGCAAATGAGTGTGTCTATGTTCCAATCAAGTTTTGTTTACAGAAAAAGGTGGTTGGTTGGGCCAGATTTGGCCCATAGGCCATTACTTGCTGATCATTGCTCTAAAAAATGTAAGCTAACCCACTCTGGCATAAAACAGATCACTGGTCATTGTAATGAGGGGGGACAATAAAAGAGCATGAGGAAACATTTGTGGGTGATAGAAATAGTATTTATACTGATTGTGATGACTGTTTCACAGGTGCAAACATTAAAATCTAATAAATTGTGAATTTTAAATATGTGTAGCTAATTACATGTCAATTATACCCAAAGTTATTAAAAATCAATTAATACTTTTTGCCACATTAACAGAATAAATTAGAACTATATGACCATATCGATAGATGCATAAAAAGTATATTTTTTTCAAATTTGACACTTCCTCATGATATATGACACCCAACAAAATGCTTCACACATAGTACATTCAGTAAAAGTAGTTATTATTATGGGAGACAGGAGCATAAGGGAAAAGTATAATGGAAATAACACTGGCTTTTAAAACAGGTAGGCTATTGTTCAAGTCCAAACTAAGCTATTTACTAACTGTATAAATTAGTGCCAATAACAGTCACCTTACTGCCCTGTATAGCTTACATACTGCCACTGGAATAGCTTACATAAAGTATATTGTAGAACTCCTGACTTTCAGTGTGTAACCATTACTATTGTTACGGTTTTCTAAATTTAATATAGTGCTTTTAAATCCATACAAATCCTGGCATGCTGTGTCCAGTAGACCCATCAATAGTTAATAATGAGTTAGCTGCATTGTGAAACTGTTTATTATGTCAATTGGCAAACATGCCCTAAAGTAGAGAGAATAGATAATGAATTCTCATGTAGTCAAAACAGCTTCCAGAGTAATCAATCATTCTTGTCATTCTTTATCATCTATCCTCTCTTTTTTGGCTGGCATATGTCAAAATAAATTCCAGACATCATATAATTTTACCAGTAAATACTTAACTATGTCTGCGACAGATTTTTTTAATTAAAGACTTTTAAACATTAGGACCTTGTATTACTTTACTAGAGCAGCCATAACAAAGTACCACACAGACTGGGTGGCTTCAACAACAGGAATTTTCTCACAATTCTGGAAACTATGTGTTGAAGTTCAAGGTGTTGGCAGTTGGTTTCTTCTGAGGCCTGTCCACTTGGCCAACTTGATGGCCATTTTCCCATGTCTTCACTGGACTTTCCTCTGTATGTGTCTGTGTCTGTGTCTCTTTTCACAAGGACATGAGTCATATTGGAATTAGGCTCACCCTTATGACCTCATCTTACCTTAATGACTTCTTTAAAGGCCCTATCTCCAAATACAGTCGAATTCTGAGGTACCAGGGGTTAGGACTTCAACATATGAATTTTGGGAGGACACAGTTCAGCACATAAGAGACCTATATAATGAGAAAGAATTGTGATGGCTGTGGAAATGCATAACTCCAATCTCCCTTTACAAATCTCCTACAATGAACTACACCATTTGATGGCAACCTCCAGCTGCTACACTTTGAGATGTGTTGCAATGTTTACACCAAAGCCACTCTCTCTGTGTTGCTCCCTGCCAACAACTGGACACAGCAGAGAAACTACAGCTAGCTAATTTTGCCCTAGGAGCCACTATAATGGGCAATAATTGCTCTGGGTCTCTTCAATGTCATGGTTGAGACTTTCTCAGAGCCGTACCACAGTATGAGGCCCCTCCTACCCCTTCCTTCCTTTCCTCTTTCCTTCCTTCCTTCCTTCCTTCCTTCCT